CACTTTCCTCTCTTTTTGTCGCGTCAAAACAAAAGGTTCTGCCATCACTCTCAGAATTAAAAAGTTCAAGAGAATTTGTAGACTCGTATACTTGTTCACATGCATCTTCAGCCACAGTATGACATGTTCTGACATCAGAATTAAGACTGCGGTGTTCATATTGCCTTTCTTCATGTTTATTCCCTGCTTCTGTTTCCAGTAGTTTCATGGTTCTTTTCTGCATCTCATTCTGTTTCTTAAAGCGATCTTGTGCAAAAACAGCCATCTGACTTGAAGTCATTATACTATGAAATTCAGTATCAGTTGACACCGCAAGGTTTGAACAATCGCTTAGTTCTCCTTTTGGTTTTGACTCTTGATTTAGGGGGGAACACATATCCAGATATCGACTTAGATGTTCGTGGCAATCACTTATATGATCTGATTGAACGTCTTTTCGCACAGACCTCAGATGTATGCTAATCTGCTTAGTAGAGGCAACTAAATCAGAAATGTCAGCGCGGTTAACTTCCAAATAACTGGCTTTTCCTTCAGTGGGGAAGGAACAACAGCCATGTGACCATTTTGCATCCCACTTGTCCAGTCTTCCAAACTGTTGAGGAAGGTGTTGATCTGCAGCCTGATTTATGTTTGTGTGCGTGTCTCTATCTTTAGATAATTGACAACCAGAGTAAATTAAACTGCCAATCATCTTAGGAGTACTGGCATTGGTTTCCAAAGTTACAGATGTCGTCAAATACTCTCCTGCTACCGTTAAGCTCCTCTGTTCAGATAGCTGGGAGCAGTAAACATTTGTAGGAGCGGCTGTGATCGTAGATCTTTCAGCCTGAAACACTAAACAGTCAGTACTTTTGCATTTTTCAGAAAAAAGACCGCGTCTATCACATGAACAGTGGAGTTCTCTCCATTTTTCAGCAGCAGGCACTGAGCTACTATGTTCTGACACCTCCAGCTGACTTGGAATACTGGGTGCTCCAACAAAAATATGGACTTGAGGTCTTTTAGACATTTCTCATTGCTGTGTAAGTTTGGCTTTAAACAATGTGGTTTGTGCAATAACTGTAATACTAAATATTAGCAAATGCCAATAACTATACCAGGTGTTTTCTTATCAATTTAAAAATAGAGATCAAAATAGTATTTCTTAACTAATAAAAGAATAAACACCACTTTATTCTTTAAAGCCCATAAAACATACACAGTATAAAAAATGGGAGTTACCTATTGCCCAACTTTCTTACATAAAACTAAGCTATCTTAGAACTTCATTTCCGACACTTCCAGTATCAGACTTGTAGCAAAGTTCAGTCTGCTACAAACAAAATTTCCACAAAGCTAAACTTCCTTTATTACCAGTTTAAGATTAATTATTATCTGAGTAGGATTATTATGTTTATATATTGGCATCAGTAATTTAACATTCAAATGTAAATTCGTTATTTAGGACTTCATTTTAAATCATGTGAAGCAAATGCCTATAAAACAAATTTTTATAGCAGGGTCAGGACATCATTTCATTCTCTGGAAAATTAAAATTTTAAATAATTACTAAATGATCAGAAATACTAGACTCATTTTAGATTAAAAGGGTTTGCTAAAAACATTATTTTACACAGCCAGTCATCACTGTTGCTTTGGCATGGAAATACTATATTAGGTACATGATTATTTTATCAAAGTCAGGTTTCAAGATCTTAAAAATTTATCAATAACTATTTATTTAATAAACACTAAGAGGTCACAGTGGAACTTGAGCAGATGATCCAGAAGTAGCTCTAATTCATATATAATACTGTCATACTGCCCAGAAAGGTACTAGCTTTTCTAGCATATGAAAAACATATCTACCTTACACTGCATGAAAAAAAAAAACCTTAATGCTTTTATAACTCTGCTATACAGTGATTTTAAAGCATTCAAATACAGCTACAAGGGTTCATTAAAATGCAGACACATAATTATGTGTCTATACGTTTTGGGAGTGATGTTAAGAGAAGGTGCTGCAATAGGGAATTCTGTAGTGGTAGCATACACAGAACACCAGAAGTGAAATCCAGATGCTAATCCAGCTGCAGATAGAAGAAAGAGAACATTAAAATAAATACAGCAATAAAAAAGATTTTCATATTTCATTTAGCACTAAAGTCAATTTCTCAACAACCCGCTAGGGCTCGCTAGACCCTCACATTCATAAAGCTGACAGTAGCACAAAAACCATATCACAGAATCACAGACTGCTTGCAGCTGGCAGGGATCTCTGGAGATCATCTAGTCCAACCCCTCTGCTCAAGCAGGGTCCTCTGGCACATTGCCCAGGACCCCATCCAGACAGCTTTTGAGTGTCGCCAGGGAAGGAGACTCCACTACCTCTCTGGGCAACCCGTGCCAGTGCTCTGTCACCCTCACAGTGAAGAAGTTTTTCCTCAGGTTCAGTCTGTGCCCTTTGCCTCTTGTCCTGTCACTAGGTACCACCGAGAAGAGTCTGGCCCCATCCTCTCGACACCCTCCCTTTAGATATTTTTATACACTGATGAGATCTCCCCTCTCAGTCTTCTCTTCTCCAGGCTCAACAGGCCCAGCTCTCTCAGCCTTTCTTCAGAGGAGAGATGCTCCAGTCCCTTCTTCATCTTTGTAGCCCTCCACTGGACTCTCCCCAGGAGCTCCGTGCCTCTCTTGTACTTGGGAGCCCAGTATTCTGAATGTGTCTCACCAAGTGCTGAGCAGAAGAGAAAAATCACCTCCCTCAACCTGCTGGCAATGTTCCTCCTAATGCAAATCTGGATACTTCAGGCCCTCTTTACCGCAAGGGCATACTGCTGGCCTGTGTGAAACGCATTGTCCACCAGGACCACTGGGTCCTTTCCCACGATCACAGAATCGTTTAGGTTGGAAGGGACCTCCGGAGATCATCTCGTCCAACCTCCCTGCTCAAGCAGGGTCACCTAGAGCATATTGCCCAGGATCACATCCAGATGGGTTTTGAATATCTCCAGCGAAGGAGACTCCACCACCTCTCTGGGCAACCTGTTCCAATGCTCTGTCACCCTCACAGTG